TGACTGTCGATGAGGGAGAGGGCCGTCAACAGAGGAGGGGGCGTGCCAAAGTGACCATCTTAGCACCAACATAACTGGATTGTTCCACTTTGGAGTAAGCTGTTTGGGGAAGAATCAGTTTTGTGTTGTGTGTCTCCTTGACTGATGAAGCCTTCTGGGTGGAAGGCGAAACATTTCAGCACAAAAAAAAAGAAACTGTCCAGATGACCTGACTGAAAATTGTTACAGAAATAAGAACTTGAAAATCTGTTTCATTGGGTGGCTAGGTACCATTCTATTGATGTCCTACAATATTGCAGCTAGAGCTGTGACTTAAACTCACTGGAGATAATTAAAAAGGCTCCACTGGTCTATGTCCAACCGAACTGAGCTTGATAGGACTTACGAAGTACTTTGTAGAACGGCAGATCTGACGGGCTTTCCTCACCATGACCTCTGAACCTGAGGTCCTCCCGCAGAGCCACTCTGAACTTATTTATTTAGAGTTGCTTTTTACCCTGAATAATTATAACCAAATTCTTATTCTTCATTCTTTATGTTGTCAATTTTTTCATGTTGATGATTCTATTTTGATTAATTATTTTTGCAATACAATTTCAGAGTCATTTGGGTAAATATTCATTAAAAAGCTACATGCATTTAACAAATTCCACTTTAATGACTGATTTCTGATTATAAAAGTGTGAATAAATTTATCAACCTGTTATTGGTCAATAAACTAACTTGGTGCCCCCAATTTTAACAACAGAAAATGAGTGTAGCATATTGGGGAACAAGCATTACTCTTTTTTTTTGTCACTCTCTACCACTTGCTTTACAAAACATTTCCAAATCTTTGGGTACAAAAGAGATTGCATTTAAGAAACAAATATTTGAGTGTAACAGTTGCCAAAGATGCTTATACAAAGTACTAAAAAAATCTGTTCTCCAATTTTTATCTTTCATAAATTTACAAAACTGTAAAGAAATTTGTAGCTACAACATAATATTGCTATAATGAAAAAGATCTGAATACTTTATAAGCACTGTATGGCATTTTCACCAACTGCTCATGTTTGGAAGCATGTCTTGGGAGTAATAAAAAAATAAAAATCAGGGCAGATTAGATTAAGCCCTCTGCTAGAACTGATCCAGATTATGAAAATGCAATATGAATGATCCATTGTCTATATCTATTTGTGGGAGACTTTTGGTTATTTTCTCAGAAGAATTGGAACATCAACAGAATAATCCAGATTTAATGACGGTTTTCATGCTACACTGCATGTAATGTTCAGCTGGCAAGGGTAAAACATAGCCCGCACTGCGTGTGTGGATGTGTGTGCATGCATGTTGTATTTGTTATACCGTGCAGATGGGGAAAGGAGCACCAGCTGTGCATTCTATTTATAGTAGGCTATTAGGAAGAATGGATAACTATGAAGTAAATGGAATAGGTACAATTCATAACCACTTTGTTGTAACATTTGTCCATTGATTTCTTATGTAAAGGGCTATTTATGCATAAACTCCTGGACATGCTATTGAATTTATAATGTTTGTTGTGAAAATGCTACACATGCAACAGCAACACTGAACATAATTGCTGTTTAGAGCAGAGCGCAAAAAAAAAATTTGAATATGCTGTAGTTTCCATCACCAGGTCACTAGCAGGCACTGTACTTTTTGTGTTTTTAAGATGTGTATGAGCATAAACACTTCAGTCTCAAGCATGGAAACAGTATTACGTTAACTTTAAGTTTTTTTAGAATGTGAGGAATGCATCTCCATATATAGTATGTGTCAGAAGCTCTAGTAAACTGGACTGCATTCTGTAAACTGTAAACTGCATTCTGTCTTAAAATGCTAAACCTCCTTTACATTTCATGCCAGACTTTGAGACTAAGAGTAAGTTTGGTTACATCACTAGGAAAATATATATGTGAATGACTCTCAGCTAGTACCATGCAAAACATTAGCTCAGTTATTTTAAAAAGTCACTGTAATGTGCTTTTGTGTTAGCTAAACTTGCATATCTCCGGCAAACTTTTTGAATGGAGTTGCCGTCAAACGTCACCTACTGGTAGATGTCTATCCAGTGGCTACTTTCTGAGTGTTATGAGGTATTTTTAGCACATATAGAGCTAAACTGAGGCAAATCTATATGTAAGCTTCATGGTGTACAAATTTCCTCTATGGGTCTGTGTGGTGAATGTCAAAGAAAAGTAGATAAAGCATTTCTCTGCACTGCAGTTCCTACATTATTACTGCTTTAGGCCTGAAGAGGGCAGCTTCAGATTAATAGAAACATGACCAGCCTCCGGAATCACCCTGAAGAACAGGAATAAAAAGATAATTTGTACCTTCAATTAAACATTTGACAGTGGAAATTGGCTAAAGATTTGCTCTCTAAAGTAAAAATGACTTTTGCTGTTATTTACTCAGAGAATTCAGCACATATGGAATGTTACATTTAGAGTTTTGATTTAGTATTTATTTTAAAGAAAATAAATATTTTCAATGTAGAAAATATTTAGGGACTGAAAATGTTTTTGTTTTGTTTTTTATGTAAAAGACATAAATGTTTTAACAAAGAAGAATCTGTCCAGAGGACCTGACTCAGCCTTGTTAGATTTATCTACCTGGATTATTGAGCAGCATCAGGACACTTTCAATGCATGTGTGTGTATACTGTATATATATATATATATATATATATATATATCTATATATATATATATATATATATATATACATACATACATACACATGTATATATAAAAATAAAAAATGTTGCTAATTTCTCCAATTTTCTGTAAACTACTTTGCAGTTGAGCAAGACATTATTTAAATTCATAAAAATTCAGTTGTCTTGCGATCTGTCCTGGGTGGACCCTGCCTCTTGTACAGTGATAACTAGATATGGGCATCAGAAACCCCCATGACCTGGATGGATGAATGGATGGATGGATGGATTTACACAAATGAAAATTCTCCCAGCAGAGACTGAACTGAGACTCAACGATGCCCTCAACAAGTTCTATGCACACTTTGAAGACTTGAACACACCACCCAGCACCAGACTCACCTCACCACCAGAAGAAGAGCATCTCAGCGTGACCTCAGCAGAAGTAAAGGAGTACTTTCAGGAGGATTAATCCACACTAGGCAACCGGCCCAGACAAAATCCCCGGAAAAGTGTTGAAAGAATGTGCCGATCAGCTCTGCGAGGTGCTGGCAAACATCTTTAACACCTCACTTACTCAGGAGACAGTTCCCACCTGCCTGAAGACTGCCACCATCATCCCAGTTCCAAAGAGCTCTACAGTGACTGGTCTGAATGACTATCGGCCAGTGGCCCTCACCCCGATAGTCGCTAAATGCTTCGAAAAACTGGTTATGACCCACATCAAAACAACCATCAACATCAACGAGAACCCTCATCAGTATACATACCGTGAGAACCAATCAACAGAGGATGCCATCTCCTCTGTGGTCCACACTTCTCTCATCCACCTGGAGCAGAAAAACTCTTATGTCCAAATGTTCTTTGTGGACTTCACATCCACCTTCAACACCATGATCCCCCAAACCCTGATGGACAAACTATTCACACTAGGACTAAGCCCCTCCATTTGCAACTGGGTAATAGACTTCTTAACAAACAGACCACAGTCAGTGAGGATTCACAACTTCTCCTCCTCCACCATAACCCTCAGCACTGGCTCTCCTCAGGGATGTGTGTTGAGCCCCCTCCTGTTTACTCTGCTCACATATGATTGTGCAGCTACCCATCCAGGCTGTCACATTGTAAAGTTTGCAGAT